GTTCACACTGTTTCGCTACCATCTGTCCCCAGAACTCTTCTTCTTGCAAAACTGAACTCTGTACCTTATCAGCCTTAAAAATAAAATACATAGTTAACAGCAAAATGATGTTCTTCAGGAATAGCAGAGAAATTGCAGTGCAGGACATGCAGACTACAGCAAACCATAGGCAAGTTCCCAAAACAAAGAAGAGGACCATTCTTAAAAGAGGGGAGTTGGAAAGGGATGGTTTTTGAGCAAAGTCCATTGGAGGAAAGAGAGTTGAGGGTTATGGATGCTTCTGATTAGGCTAGTTGTGGTAGCTTCTCATTGGCTATACTAAGCAGGGAAAAAAATTTTCCTTCCTCCAGCTGGGGTATATAAAGTAAGCTTCCTTCCAGTTGGGAAATGTGATTCCTGCTAGAATCTGCAAGGGACAGCAAACAGTAGTGCATGAGAGTTCCCCCTCTTCAGGGCTTCCAGACTATTTTAAATCAGGTTTCTTGTAGTCATTTCACAACCTTTTAAAACAATTAACTCCCCAGTCTCCCTTCCCTCAGCTTATCTTTATATTTGAAGTGTTCTTTTTCAGCAGAAAAGTGGTTTTAATTTCATAAGCAGCTTAGCCATTTCTTTTTTAACTGATGAGATCTCACTTGTGTTTGTGAAATTTAAAAAGGCACTAGGAGGCAGGTATTTGTGGATTCTGTGCCAACAAAATGAATAAGAACATGGAATTGAAGCCAGCTTACCTGAGTTCAGTTACTAGCGCCTCCATTTACTGCCTGTGTGACCTTGCAAGTTATTTAACATCTCTATGCCTCAGTTTCACCATCTAAAAAAATGGAAATAATAATGCTACCTATTTTAGCATTGTTTTGAGGATCAAATAGTTAACACATGTCCCTTGAGAAATTTACAGTTAAATTATAGAATAAGACATGTTGGAAAATTAACAAGTACTACAGTGTTAGGGATACCAAACAGATGATAGAGAATAAATGCAATAGAATTGATAGGAGACAACACTGAAATTCTGGTATCTAGGAAAGGGTTCACAGAGAGCAATCAAGAAAACTACAGACTCCTAACCCCACATCTCTTATCAGCATCTGAAGTTACATTCTCTACCTTCTCATTTCATCAGTCCGTACTTCTTTTTCATCTAGATCAAAGACAGACTTTTCTGCTCCTGTCTAAATCCTGTGCCCCAGCTGGAGTCCTGCCTGTCCTCTCCTTTTGCCTGCTCAAGGACATTACTCTAGCTCTCTCTCCCCTACATCATCAGTTTCTTACTCTGATGGATCATGCTCATTAGTATATCAGCATGTTGTAATTGCTCCCACTAAAAACAGCAACAGATTTTTTAAGCTGCTTGACTTTTCTATTGTCAGTTACACCCTACATATTCCCTTCTACAGGAAAACTTTCCAAAATTGTGAGAAAATTTAGCTCTCTAATTTTCCTCCCCACTTTCTCTCTTAAATCTACTCCACTTAGGCTTTGCCTCTATGATTATGCTAAAACTTCTTTCATCAAGGTCCCTGTGACTTCCAAATTGCTAAATCCAATGGTCAGTCCTTAGTCTTCATCTTATTGAACCTATCAGCGACACTTAACAAAATCGATCCATTCTCCCTGGTATACTTAACCAAACTTCCAGACTCCACACTCTTTAAGTTTTCATCCTGCCTAATTATTTGTCCTTTCCTATCTTTCTGGAACTGCAGACCACTATTATCTAACTGCCTACTCAACATTTCCACTTATAGACTTACCAAACTTACATGTGCAAAACCTAAAACTCCAGATCTTCTCCCTACTCTGCTAAAGTAACTTGTTCTAACCTATAGCTTTCCCTTTCACTGTTGGTGAAATACCATCACTCCAAAACTTTTTCACACTTCTCCAGTGGAATTACCAGCTAATCTTGTTCTACCTTTAAAGGTACGCAGAATGTGGGCAACTTCTCACTACCTCCACTGCTGCCGCCATGGTCCAGGCCACCACCATCTCTTGCCTAGATTTCTACAATGACTTCCTAAATGATCTCCCCATTTTTGGCTTTGCCCTACAATCTATCCTCAACTCAGCAGCCAGAGTAACCCTATTAAATGTAAGGGTATATCAGGACTTCTCAATCTTGGCACTATAAACAGTGTAAGCCAATAATTTTTTGTTTTGGGGGGGTTGTCCTCTGTGTTGTAGGGCATTTAGCGCCATCCCTGACCTCTACTCACTAAATAGTTAGTACCTCCAACTCCAGGTGTGACAACCAAAACTGACTCCAGGCATGCTCAGTCGCTTCAGTTGTGTCTGACTCTTTGTGACCCCATGGACTGTAGCCCACTAGGCTCCTCTGTCCATGGGGATTCTCCAGGCAGGAATACTGAAAGTGGGTTGCCATGCCCTTCTCCAGGGGATCGTCCTGACCCAGGGATTGAACTTGTGTCTCTTAGGTCTCCTGCGTTGGCAGGCAGCTTCTTTACCACTAGTGCCACCTGGGAAGCCCTAAAAATGACTCCAGATACTGCCAAATGTCCTTTACAACCAGGGTCCCCAACCTCCAGGATCTAATGCCTGATGATCTGAGGTGGAGCTAATGTAATAATAATAGAAATAAAGTGCACAATAAATGTAATATGCTTGAATCATTCCAAAACCATCCTTACCCTAAGTCCATGGAAAAATTGTCTTCCATAAAACCAGTCCTCCTAAAAGTTGGAGACTGTTGCTCTAAGGAGTAAAATCACCCCTTGATGAGAACCACTTGTTTCTGTGATGGTCCTCCATTTCACTGAGTACATGTAAGTCAGCCTATACAGGACAACCTGCCTGACTTGGCCATCATCTCTACCATTTTGTGTCTGTTGATCTCATCTGCTTCTGTCTTTTTTCCTCCTTTACGCTGATCCAGTCACACTGGCTTCCTCCTAGCCATTCCTACTTTAAAGGCTTTGTTCTGACTGTTCCCTCTTCCCAGAACAGTCTTTCAGATTTTTCCCTGGCTAATTCCTTCAATTCCTTCACATCTCTGCTCAAATTTCACTTTGCCAATAAGGCCTATCCTGATCATTCTTTTATACAACTGTTCCCCTTTTACGGTACTTCTGATCCGCCTTACCTGGTGTGTTGTTTTTTTTCCATAGTGTTTATCACCTTGCAGCATGCTCAATAATTTACTTTTGCTGTCATGTTTGTCTGCCCCTGTGAATGTGTGTGCCCGCACGAACATGTCAGTTTTTTTCTCTGCTGAATTACCACTATCTTTTTGTTCAAAAACAAATTTTTTTTTTAATGAATGGAGGTGGTTAGTGCTAGATTTGGAAGGATAGATGGGACTTTCATAGATTTAGACTAGGGGAAAGTAAAATGAAGAGGGAAGATGGCATAAGCCAAAGTACAAGATAAAGAAATATGCAGGTAAGTATGAAGATAGGTGTTTTAGTATACCAGCCTGACTGGAATAAAGGGTTCAGAATTTGGTGTGGAAGAAACATCACAGCTATAATGAGAGGTTGGAACCAGATGGAATGCTAGGTTGAAGAGTATGTACCATGCAATCCTATCAGCAGTGGGGGTCATTTAAGATTTGTGAGTCAGACAGTTGATAAAGGTGAAAGTGGTATGTTAATGGCAGACACTGTGGTTTGGCTCACTCAAAATCCATTTCAGACTTCCTCTCAGGTCCCTTCCTGTAGGTTAGAGGCTGAAAAATGGTAAACAAATTCCAGTTTATCTTCAGCTAGGGTTCCAGATAGGACGTTCTTTCCACCAGTCATAGGCAGTTGTCCAGGCTTGAATCCAGAACTGGGTTAAATAGGGAGACATGGGATATGAGGTCTCCATTGTGCTGGAAACAAATGTTGTAGTCTATACCTAGGTTATCAAGACAGTGATTCATTTGCTCTTCTGGTTCTGTCTTATCTCACAAGTCGTCTCACACTTCAGCAGAGAAAGTTAGTTTAATAGCCTATTTAATAGCAACTATATTCTTTCTAAAGCAGTAATTTATTTGTAAGTTAGGCTTATCTGTATCCAAGTAACTGTGTTTTCTAACATCCCTACCAAGCACGTATGTTTATAAACTAAATTTGCTATTTGTTTAGGTGTAGTAAAACTTATTCTTCCATAGTAAAATGTGAAAATATTAGGATTTGCCTTTAAGTTACTGCTTTACATTTTAATCATTTTCTGTTATTAAATGTTTGTTATACTTCAGTAGTAATTATTTGTCTGAAAGATAAAGAACTCTTCTCATAGAAGGATTTCTAATTTTAAGGTAAAATCTTGTATCTTTTTAGTCCTTCCTATATGTTCTTGTTGTTCCAGTGAGGTTCAAAGGGAGTAAATCTGTCATTTTTAAAAATATTTTTCCACAGTGTGACCCCTGTGTAGAAATACGTGATTTCTAAGACTTAGAGCCGCAGATGTTTTCCTTAACTGGGAGTTAATATATGAGGTGTTTGCCTCCCTTGACAGGATTTTCAACTATCAAAATTGTTCTGGTCATGGTCCTAAGAGTTTTATGCCTAAATTCAATATACAGGTGATCTGAGGAGTTTGGGTCCATTTTTTTTCCCCATTGCTATTTCACAGTTTCTGTTCTTTCCATATCTTATATTTCCCCTAACCCACAAAAAAGAAATTCCTGACCCTGTTACATTGAAACCAGAAGGTCCCTTGAGACATTTGGTCCCATTGCTACATTTTTACTGTATCACTAAATGCATGTCACACCTAAGATAAATACCTAATATCGTAACTCACTGTGTATATTATTATTTAGCTAATCTTGTCAGTGTTTTAAGATTTATATTGCATTGTATAACAAAAACAACTTCATGCTGTTCAGTGCTAATTCACATGTATGTAATGTATTTAATAAAATCTTTTCATGTTGATTCTGTAAAATTTCTTAATTAACTTCTAATCGGTGTAATAATTCTTCCTCTCACATATCTGGAAAAAACTGCTTACGTCCTATGGAAGAAACCTTTAATCTGTTGTTCATTTTATAGGTTATTGAAGACAATGGTGTTCGAAGAGTTGTTGTGGTTCCTCAGGCACCAGAGTTTCACCCTGGTGGTCACACAGTCATCCATCGCTCTCCACACCCTCCTCTGCCCGGTTTCATTCCTGTCCCAGCCATGATGCCCCCTCCACCACGCCACATGTACTCACCAGTAACCGGAGCTGGAGACATGGCAACACAGTATATGCCACAGTATCAGTCTTCACAAGTGTATGGAGATGTAGGTAAGACATCTAGAAAGTATTCTTGTTTTGTGGGGTTGGCTGTTCTTTGCTTGGATATAATAGGTGCTATTATCACATTATATAAAAGAAAAAAATGGTAACTATCACAATAATTTTCTGTCACTCAAATGCTGTGTTAAGGGAATTCTAGTCAGTACTCTGTAATGACCTATGTGGGAAAAGAATCTAAAAAAGAGTGGATATATGTATATGTGTAACCCATTCACTTTGCTATACATCAGAAACTAATACAACATTGTAAATCAACTATGCTCCAGTAAAAATTAACTTTAAAAAACATGTTAAATATTTCATTTTCATGCCCACCCTTCAAGGCAGGTGAGTAAACAGAAAATCAGGAAGGGAAAGTAACCCACATCATGCAGCAACATTCATTGGGTACACATTCAAACAAGAGGTCTACTTGTCTGTTCTGCTGCTTTCTGAGGAAATTTTTTAGCCAGGAATGATCATGCTACTGTTAAATTCTGAAGCCTCTGATGCCACTAACTAACATTGCTAGGTTCTGTAAGAAACTGGGGAAAGAAAACAAAACATAATCTCTGCCCTCAGGGAGTTAATATAATTGTTGGGAAGAATAGACAGCTACATATACACAAGATAATCATCTTACTCTTTCCTGTGGCTTTAAATACCATCCATAGACTGACAGTTTTTTTTTAGTTTGTATCTTCAGTCAAAAACCTCTCCTCTGAGTCCCAGACTTTTATTTCTGTCTGTGGTTTTGTTTTTTTTTTTTGGACTCTGCTGCATTCCCAAGCCAGGGATTAAATCCAGGCCATGGTATTAAAAGCCTGGACTCTGGAATCCTAACCACTAGGCCACCAGTCTACTCCCCTAACTGCCTTCTTGATAACTCCACTTAAGTGTCTCATACATCTGTTATAGTATTTTAAAACATAATTATTGAACTTGATTTTCTGTGTCATCTTCATCTCCATGGATGGTACCACTGTCCACTCAGTTTGCACAAGTGAAAACCAGATGACCAAATTTGATTCCTCCTCTTTGAACCCCCACATCAGTGGGTATCTACTGTCAGAAGATTCCCAGATGTGACGACTTTTCTCCACTGCTGCTCAGACTTCGTCCACCATCACCTCTTGTCAGGACACCTGCAGCAGCAGCCTTCCAGTTGGTTTTCTGCTGTCATTCCTGCCCGCAACCATCCACACTCAGCCAGAGGAGTCATTTAAAATACACATCAGACCATTCTTTTAGTTCATAGAGTTCAGTGACTTTCCGCTACATTTAGAATAAAATCCTAAACCTTTCCCCTTGACCAGAATCTCTCAACCTTAACACTTTGATCTTGGGACGAAGAAGAGTCTTTACTGTGGTGGGCGGAACTGGCTCTGTAGGGTGTTAGAAGGAGCCCCGCCTCCTACCCGCCAGCCGCCAGCAGCAGGCAGCTCCGCCCCTCCCCCTCCAGCTCAGCTAGGACAACTCGAGCATCTCTGCACGCTGCCAGGCGACCCCTGGGGGCCACTGCCCTGGGCAAGATCCTGCTCTGGCCTCTGCCTGGTCTTACTTGTTCCCACCTTCGGTTTTTCAGAGCCAAGCTCTTTCTTACCTCAATGCCTCTACACATGGTGTTCTCTCTCCCAGAAGTGCTCTTCCCCCCTTTGCATGCAAGCTGCTGCTGCTTTGGGTTTTTTGTTTGTTTGTTTTAGATTTTAAGCTTTCAGAGATCTTCCCATAACCTTTCCTTGTCAATCTCTGAAACCTGTTTCTTTCACAGAACTGAACACAACTTGATTTTTGTGTGTGTGTATTTAGAAGTCTTTTTCCCTTATTTAACTGTAAACGCCTGAAGAACTGAATCTGTTTTTTTCATTGCTGTTTTCCTCGCACTTAATCAGTACTTGTCATTCAAGCTTAGTAAATTTGTAGAAGAAATAACTCTAAATACAGATTTTAAATTACGCAACACAGCCTGCAAGTAGTAGATATACTACATATTATGTCATATATTACATTTTTTTCAGACTTATTTCTATTGCTATTGAAATAAGCAATAATAGCTATTGCTGTTTCTATTTCTATTGAAATAAGTCTATTTCAGACTTATTTCAGACTTAATTCTGTAGGTCTGAGTGTGGTTTGGTTTTCTGCATTTCTAACAAATTCCCAGGTAAGTCTTGTGCAGTAGCCCAATGAACATACTTTTGATAGCAAGAGTTTATACTACAAATCAGTCTCTTTCATTTTTTTTACTCCTAATTAGGACCTAGTTTTTTAAAATGTGAGAAAATTATAAGAAAAATCTTAACTACTACAGTATACTACTGTTGTACATTGTTAAAAGCCATTGTTATTCAGAGATGTTTGAAGTTGAAAGAGATGCTAAAATTAATGGCTACAAAAGAATACAAGAACTCTACACAGCTCAGTTCAGGTCTTATTCCCCTCCTGTGACAGTCATAGCTTAGGACCAGGCTGTTTCTATGGAGATTAATACTTGAGAAAAGAGGAAGGAAACAAATATCTGTAAGCTTATAATTATAATCAGGTCATAAAGCTTAGTTCTCTTTAGTTAGTGGAGACACAGAAATAGCTTTGTGTTGTGCAAGATTTTTCTTTGAATTATAAGTTTTATATAATATAATGATAATTTATTTCCTACTCTTTTCTCATGCCATAAATGTGTTTGAAGAAAGCAACCTTTTCTAAATGATTTTTACTTTATTTCTTCTTAGATGCTCACTCTTCACATGGAAGGTCCAACTTTAGAGATGAAAGATCTAGTAAAACATATGAACGTTTGCAGAAAAAATTAAAGGATCGCCAAGGAACACAGAAAGATAAGATGAGCAGTCCACCATCATCACCCCAGAAATGCCCTTCTCCTATCAGTGAACATAATGGGCTTACAAAAGGGCAGAATGCTAGTGGTACAAACACAGGATCAGTGAAGAACAAGTCAGGAAAGGGGAAAGGTGGTGCACAAATTGATACAGAAATAGAAGGTAACTATTTAAAATATATTCATCATTTAACCTACTAAGAGTATAGTCTGACCTTTCAGTCATTTCATCATGCTTCACATAAACTGTAGATTGGTAGCATAACACTGTCTAAATGTGAGGGGTAAGTTTTAGAACCTGAATTGTTACTAGGGTATTTCTTTTTACATTTTGGGAAAGCTCAAATAATACTTACACCTATATCATAAATTTTACTAACCACGGAAAATTTGTTTGATAGGAAAACTCAAAGTTCATTCAGATTCCTTTCTTCTTTCTGAACCTAAATAAGGCTAAACTGGTTTTTAATCAGAACTCTTATTCTTTCCAGCTTCTTCTTATACAAGTCCCTGATAGCAACTAGTTATGTAGTTCACCAATCCATTTATATACTCTATAAATATTATAGTTAGGATATAGTCTTCTCCTTTTCTTTGTTTGAAAGTTCTTTTCTGTTTCCCTTAGATCCTTCCTCTAACCTGTGACTTCCACCATATGAACTCTGAGCACTACTTCCTTTTCTTTAAAATTTCTATTTCCCATCCATTTAGTGCTTTAACAGCCTCTTGGCTTGTAATATAAACATTTATTAAAATGTTCTCCCATATTTTTGAGACCTTCTGATCATTCTTTTCAGCATTGGTGTTTCAGAGGAGTTAAGCTAAAGTTTCAGATACTTCAGTGGTGGTTTTAAGTTATGATCTAGTCAATTATATTCCTATTTTGGGAACCACAATTAAGGCATATATGAAACAAATGCTTAGTTAACTTGTCATTAAGAGGTATGAGATTGGCAAATAAGGATTTTTAAGAGAGAGAGTACTTTATTTTTTTAAAGGGATATATGTAGTAGTACTATAAGTAGTTATTATGGTTAAAAGGGAAATAGAAACTGAGGCAAAAGAACTCTATAAAAAGCCACAAACTGCTGAATATGAACTAAGGAGTAGAAACTAGAAAATAAAATTCTCAAATTCCAACCTCTTGTTACATGTTTTAGAAGACATATTGTGAAGGGAGCAGGATGATTGCATTTAAGTTGTATTTTTTTTTAATTCCTCCCCCCCAAAAAGTTTTTTTTTTTTTTTTTTTAAGAAAAAGATGAAGAAACTAAAGCTTTTGAAGCACTTCTTTCCAACATTGTCAAACCAGTGGTAAGTATCACATGTATTTTCTTGACATTTACATTTAGTATATTCACATAGGATTTTGGTAGGTTCAGGGCTTACTTACAATTGATATGTAAGGAATGTGAGATCAGTAATAACACATCAGTACAGATCTGACATAAGAGAGCGAGGCTGTTAATCAGTGTGGCAGGATACTCAACCAGCAATTCAGTTTTTAAACAAGGTTTTAGTATATGCTCAATGACATTCAAAATCACTGGACTGGGCAAAGATCTAATGACGAGTGTAGGTACAACTGATTATCATTTAAAGAAAAAGAAAAAAATTTATTTCCATGTAAAGTACATCCAATTAACTCCAGTTGCAAAAAGAGTTAAAATCAAACCATAGAAGAAAGTTAGTATTTCCCAATGCTATTTGTGTGCAGATGTAATAGAAGAAATCAGAAAAATGTATGACAGCAAAACTGGCTACATAAAATTTTCTGTGTATTTTGCATGCGTGCATGCTAAGTCACTTCAGTCATGTACAACTCTGTGACCCTATGGCTATAGCCCACCAGGCTTCTCTGTCCATGGGATTCTCCAGGCAAGAATACTGGAGTGGGTTGCCATGCCCTCCTCCAGGGGATCTTCCTGGCCCAGGGGTCGAACCTGCATCCCTGCCTTGGCAGGCGGGTTCTTTACCACTAGCGCCATCTGAAAAGCTTCTGTGTGTTTTAAAATAGCCTAAATAAAGGCTATCATTCTGATAGGAAAAATATTTCCATCAGATAAAAGATTAAGTAAAATGCTCATACAAACTGAATTTTTAGATCTATTAAGACCCCAAAGAGTTCTTCACTAGTAATTAAAAGAAATATAAACTTTTCTGAAATGGTGAGGTCTTATTTCTCAGTTAAAAACTTACACAAGTGAAAAGAGGAGAAAGTTATGCTCTGTACAGATTGTTTAATTATGAAGGTAGTTAGATATATTTTTTTAAATACGATTCAATTATATTTCTTTGGACAGTCCCAGTCTTTTGCTCATTTTTCTCTTAAGGTTTTGGTCTTTTTCTTATTGTTAGACACTTCTAAAGTGAGGAAATGAATCTTTTCAAGTATGTTACAAGTGAGTTTTTTCTGCCATTCTTTCAACTGTATATGATGTTTACACTAATCGTTTTAAACAGCCAAAACAATGGTCTTTGAACTTTGTCGAACTCATCTACCCTTTCATGGCAAATTGTATCTCATTTACAAATGGGCAGGTTTCTATTGGTGAATCATTTTATGTAAATAACTGCAGATAAATTTTATTTAATCTTGAAACCGTATTAGATTTTGTGCTGTTTGTTGTGCACATTACAGTTGTTTCAAAGAGCTTTTAAATATTATGTTTTTGCAGGCCTCAGACATCCAGGCAAAGACAGTAGTTCTTACCTGGTCACCACCTTCCAGCCTCATAAATGGTGAAACAGATGAGACTACTGTACCAGAGCTCTATGGTTATGAAATTCTGCTCTCAAGCACTGGAAAAGATGGGAAATACAAAAGTGTATTTGCGTAGGTATTTGTTTTGTTTTACTCCTTCCCGTTATGTAAGTTAATGGTTTATCATAAAGAGCTTAATACTAATTCTGTGCTGTTTTCCCTCTTCATGCTTTTATTTTGAATCTATAAGTTGACCATTGATACTGCTTTCAATGTAAATAGTCCATATGCCAGCTGGTTCACATTTCTGTCTACAACTCCCTTGGAATAACTCACTTTCATTGGCCACATTCAGCGTTTTTTTTTTTCAATAGGCTCCCTAATAGATATTTCACTATCCACGTATTCCTGAGACATAAATATAAATTGTAGTATGTAGTATGTAGAAGCCAGGACCAGAAATGGAGAACTCTTACATTGTGAACTCATGCACTGTTGCTCTTCTAGCGAGTTGGATTTCATTCTTACATATACAACCTCTTGTGCTATTGTGAAATGAATTTAGTACCATTGTTTCTCATTTGTGTGTTGAAAATGCCATAGTTCTCTTTTCTTGGTTCAAAACTGTATTCTACCCCAACAAACAGAAAGTGTCAGTGGCTAAAATTGTGACTTTGTGATTGACAGCTGTAAAATAAATTATTTTTCTGTTCTTGTTCATATAGAAATTGTTTATTCTGGTGAAAAAGAGTAAAATCAATTACTGTTATGTAACTTTACCAGGAAGATTGTAAAGCAGGACGTGGTTAGCCATTTGAATGATCGTTATTAACACAAAACACTGGATAAATCAACCTTCTTGGTGTATTTTTAAGAAAAAATAGCTAGTGTGGGGAAGAAAGGAAAGTGAAACTGCTTCAGTGACTGTCATCTAGTAACAAGGTCTCCTCCTCTTTGTTGGAGACTCCCTTGTGTGTATTGTATTTTATTTTCTTAAAAGAGCAAACCTACCTATGGGGTAAATAGAGAGTAAAGGACCATCAAAGTAAAGGTTTCTTTTTTGTGTTAGTGGCTGTTCTAGTTTGATATGACTGCTTCCTAAGGGAAAGAATTTATCTCCATTTGCAGCCTGACCAGAGAGCACAAGAGGGACATTAGTCAACCTCAGTCATCTCGTTATCCTGTACCAATTAAAGTCTCTTTCTGAGGCTGCTACTACAACTGCCCTGATTCAGTAAGGTGTCCTTCCATCAGTGAGACGTGTTTCCTTTCTCATACTATTCACTGGCTTTGATTTGAGAAATAGGATACCTGGAAGGAAAGTGGGAGGGGGATGGGAGGAAGAAATCCATTAAGTGGAGAAGAGAGAAACTTGACTGAAGGAAATGGAACAAAAAACAGTGATTTAAAAGAAAAGGAAGAGAAAACAGGCTAACTTGTTGGCTACATGCCTAAATAATAGTGGTAGCAAATAATTATTTAAGAAAATATGTGCTATTATATTTGAAAATGTAATAATGGCTACAAAAAATGCTTTACCTTAAATTGTGATTCACTTTTTAGAAACCTACTCATTAAATTGTAACATTTTAAATAAAGTTTCACATTATATTTTAAATAAAATCCAATAGTGGCAGACTCCTTGTAAAAATTTGATAGTTTTGATTTCAGTTTTGATTTCATGTGTTACTTAGCATTTTAACTATATGCCAGTAACTGAAAATGGTTCCATTTCTTCAGTTAAGCTAAATATCTACCCTAAGTACACACATACACATACAAAGTCTTACATATACAGTTCATTTACTTAGCACATGTGTTATGCAGGTACATACCTAAGTGTGGCATATATCCTAAATATGCAAATTGCTTATTGATACAGTCTGAATGTGGTTACAGTTGGGAAAGTTAGAAGCAGTATAATTGCATAAAATACCACAAACTGTAGTATACGTAACACACATTATCTAAAAATGCTATATTTATCAAATAATGATATGTTACCTTTTTTCCCCCCAGAGGAGAAGAAACCAGTGTCACTTTAAATGATCTCAAACCAGCTACAGATTACCACGCAAAGTAAGGAATTTCCTGTATGCTACTTTTATGTGATATATTGTAGCATAGGGTTTGTTTTTAATGATTTCCTTAAAAGTCTAGAATATAGTTTCAGTATTAATTTTGGATTAAAAACATGGAGTTTGTGGATTTTGATTTTTCTTTTGCTATAATTATCAACACATTTCCCAAAAAAACATTTAACTTAAATGTTATATTGAAGGGTAAGTGGCCTGGTTTGTAGGACCTAGGGATTAGAATGAATATACATCACCGACTCAATGGACATGAGTTTGTGTGAACTCTGAGAGTTGGTGATGGACAGGGAGGCCTGGCGTGCTGCAGTCCATGGTGTCACAAAGAGTCGGACACGACTGAGCGACTGAACTGAACTGAATTGACAGATAGTATGTACACTATATCTGTAATACCTGATTTAGCACTGGAAGACTGTGCCAGCTTTTGAAATTTTTACAAAGCAAAATCATAAATAATAATTGCCACTTATGTATATTTATTCCATCCTATTTGTAAGAGTTTGGAATATTAAAACTTAGAATTTCATAACATTTAGTTGGGACAGCTTAGATACTACTGTTTTACTCTGCACAGTTCTTCTATTATGATTTCACAAAATTATTTTTTAGACTATAGGGCCTCCCCAGCTGGGACTCATATAACAGTTTATTCAGTCACCTATTTTTAAAAAGAACACTTGTACTTGAGATTATCCTATTAAACTATTAAACTGTCTTCAATTATACTCTCTGTGGATGAACCCTAAGTATTATCCAACCTAATATTTTTCAAACTGTGGATTGTAACCACCATTGAATCATGAAATTAATTTTGTGGGTTATAGTCAGAATATTTTTAATTAAATATAATCAAATGGAATAGAAAATATCAGTATATTACCCAATTAAGGATATTGTTTCAGAATACTACTTTTGTTGTGTGTGTTCATGTATGTGTGAGGTATATGTGCGCATATGTATAAATACATATTGCAGAGACAGTCATAGTTTAAAATGTATTTCTTACTTTGAGCAGTTAGAAAAATATGAAAGCCACTGTTTTATTCTATTTTTCTTTTTTTTTAAGGGTTACCTTTTATTTCTCATATGCATATTTCTCGATAGAACATTTAGAGGGCACTTCACTGACTTGCAGATACTTAAAGGTGATGCTATAGAATGGTAGGACAGTGATTCTGCAGGATAAAACTATTTATTTTATCACCATAGAGTCCAGGCAGAATACAATTCTATAAAGGGAACTCCTTCCGAAGCTGAAACCTTTACCACCTTGAGCTGTGAACCTGACATACCTAACCCACCAAGGATAGCCAATCGGACCAAAAATTCACTTACTTTGCAGTGGAAGGTAAGACTATAGAGTGTTTCCAACTGGACATTTGTTTCCTTTTTTTTTTCCCTGTACTGTTAAACTTCATTTGTTTTCAGAGACAAAAAGAGGTTTAAGCTAACTTGCTCTTGCTCTTCACGGTATATTAAATAGGCATTGTTCCTTGTATCCTAAAATAACACTCTTATCAGTTTTTCTTACATAACACAATATAAATGTAACATAAATATAACAGGAACATTGTTACAAATAAATTATATGTTCTATATAACATATATATAACAGAAACAGAAAACTAAACAGAAACAGAAAAATATAACATATATGTAACATAAATATAACAAAAGATTGGCTTATAATTAGCAGTCCTTTGCTGAATGTGTGATGACACTGCAATGTGTTTCTCAGGCTGCTTTCTATATTTTGTAGTAATACCTTTATATCCTGAATTTTATCCTAAAATGAGATTCATAATAACTTAACCCAAATACTAATATGATGCCATAAAGGAGGAATAAAGTTATTTCTAATAGAATGCATGCTGTGTCATTTCAGTCATGTCTCTTTGCAACCCCATGAACTGTCTATGGGATTCTCCAGACAAGAATACTGGAGTGGTTTGCCATGCCCTCCTCCAGGGGATCTAACCAACCCAGGGATCAAATCCACGTCTCTTACATCTCCTGCATCAAAAGGCAGTTTCTTTATATTTTTTTTAGTGTATAATTATTTGGACCCAATATTACACAAGAAGATGTAATAAAGTGGATAGACACTAGATAGAATTGGATCCTAGATAAAACAGGCATTGTTGTCATCGGTGACATGATTTTCTGAAATCGTAACACAGTCTTGGTAAATTTCTGAATAAAATTAAGTACAGTCTTTCCCAAATTGCATAGTAGTTGCATTTAGGGGAATACACTGTTAAAATTATACCACTGATAACCTTGGAAAATGGAATCAGGTTCTAGGCTATAATAATTATAAACAGATATTCATCTATATGGATATCCAGGAATACATTCAAAAGTCCTGGAGGAAGAAACCAACACAATATTGTAAAGCAATTATCCTCCAATTAATTAAAGAAATTACCAAAAAGGGGATGTAAAAAAAACAGAAAAAAAAATTTAAATTATCATAGGCTCTCAAAAAAATGTCCTGGAGAAAAAAATACAGTTTTTTGTGTTCTGAAATAAAGGTGAAATTCTTTAGTTCTGGAGTGACCAAATCCTGGGGGAAAATGACTAGAACTGAAATTTTCACCTCTGAAAAGTAACAGATTGATGAATTAACAGTCTTAGGCAGTCAACACATGGAGCCTAGAAGTGGAGATCCAGATAGTATGCGCCCTTGGAGTTCCTGTCAGCACACTTGCTCTTTTACTTTTTAGTGTGTTACATGGTATCACTGCAGACTGTATTGATAAGCTGAGTTTTAATGAAAATGACGATCTATCCCAGAAGCTTAAAGATGATAAACTTTCTGATAAAAGATAGTTCTTGATAAAAGAGATTGTTCAGAATTCAGAAATATCTGAGTAGCCTCATGCTTTGTTTTCTTTTCTGGCAGTTAAAAGGATTATAGGATGTACATCTATATCTGCAATCCCAGAGAACATCTATAGCATAATAGATGCCTTAGATTAGATCATCACCAATACCTTTTATGAAAGTACTAACTTGTACTCATTTTGGGTTTGTTTGTTTTTTTTTTTTTTTTGGTGTTTGTTTTAGGCACCTAGTGACAATGGCTCTAAAATCCAAAGTTTTATTTTAGAATGGGATGAGGTAAGTACATTTGAACTTTTTAAATTAGTCTAAAATGTATGTATACCTTCAGGCAGAAATGCCTTTCTGTTTAATAATTTTTTCCTCTTTAAAAACAATATGAATGATCTCATGTGGTGCTTGAGTCAGTTGATGGTGTTCTTAGAAAATGTTACTGACCAGACCTCCTGATGTTTTAGATTTTCCAACTAAACCAACCGTCAAAGCAATCACTTGGTTAATTAACTTAATGGAATATTTTCTTTCACATCAGCCTTAAAGGCAAGCATGTTTGTTTACTGTGACTGCTTTAACAAATTACCACAAACTGGGCACCTCAAAACAACACTTTTATTCTTAAAATTCTAGAAATCAGAAACCAAAATGGCTTTCACTGGGCCAGAGTCAGGGTGGCACCTGAGCCCTGCTTACTCCAGGGACTCTAGAGGAGAAGCCATTGCCTTGCCTTCTCCAGCTCCTGGCAGCTTCCTCATTACTTGGTTCATGGCCACATCAGATTGCCTTTTCTCCCCCTGCTGCCCTTATCACATGACCATCTTCATGTCCTTCTCTGCCTCCCTTTAGAAAAGATACTTGTAATTCCACTGACAATGCACCCAGATGACCCAGCATAATCTCTCCATCTCAGGAGCCTGAATTTCACCACATTTATACAGCCTGTGCTGCCATCTGAGGTCATATTCACGTGTTCCAGGGGTCAGGATCTGGGTATCTTTGGGGGCCTACCACAGCAAGCATCTTGGGCTTTACTATTTAGTACTTTGTTTTACTGTCATTTGTCATGTTCTCTTTTTGCCCTACTGCTTCACTGCAGCAAAGAGGAGGGTCCAGAGGGAGTAGAAGAAATTCCAGCCATATATTAAAACAGTAATGAGGTGCAACCCAAGGAAGTTTTATTCCAGAAGTTCTAAGTGAATACAGAATTAGGCAATCTGTTGCAGTATCAGAGTAATTGAGAAGAAAAACTATATCATCTTGATAAATTATGACAAGTATTTGATAAAATTTATTACCAGTTTCATTTAAAACTCAAATTAGGAATAAAAGAGTAATCCCTTATTTGATAGTTTTGTATTATGTGAAGTACTATCACTAAACAATAAAAGCATTTCTAGCCAAGCAAAAATAAGTCAAAGTTACCAGTTTTTGCCACCTTTATTTGACATTACTCAGGAAATTATAGCTAAAGAGTGTCAAAAAAAAGAGGTAGAGCTATGGTGGCTGGCCTGGGGGACAAAATTATCATTGTTTAGAGATGATATGAGTTTCTATTTAGATAACTCAATAGAATAAACTATAAACATTATTAAAACTAACATTAGAGTTGAACAAAGCAACCAAATTCAGACTAAAGATTTTCTATGACAGAGGTTGCTCTAACCACCCTTTACGTGTGTGTGTGTGTGTGTGTGTGTGTGTTTTAAGTCACTTCGACTTTTTGTGACGCTATGGACTGTAGCCCACCTGCAGGGGTCCTCAGTTGGAGAGATTCTCCAGGCAAGAATACTGGAGTGGGTTGCCACGCCCTTCTCAAGGGGACCTTCCCGACCCAGGGATTGAACTCGCATCTCTTATGTCTCCTCCATTGGCAGGCGGGTTCTTCACCACTAGCGCCACCTGGGCAGCCCTATCCTTTACCTCTACCACACAATAAAGAGAAATGGGTAGAAAATGAGAAATTTGTAGATGTTATATAACACTTAAATTTCTAAAACTTTTCACTTGTCCTGAACTGCAAACTTTTCTCCCTCCCATCTTAATACATATAATGGAGTTTTTCTATTTATACTTTTTCAGTGTTAAATCTAATCAGTAGTAGCATCAAAGTCTTTAAGGATGTTTAGCAGCTGTCCAGGTGGTTTGAAGATGCATAGGTTAAGGAGAGCAGCCAGATACTCATGTTGAAGATCAATCTATTTCTACCACTACCAGTCCTTCCATAGAGTTGTGGGGTCCATACCCAGAAAGAGTTTCTTTTATTAAAAGCCAGAGGATTACCATCAGCTCTAAAATGGGATGTTTAGTTCAAGAAGCTATACAGAGATGCCTACTCTTTGGTTTTTTAATTTTGCATTAATTAACAATGAGTATTGTGTAAAGGATGTGTTATCTCAACCTTTTCTTGAGATTCATGACATATATGTAACAAAGATGACTTTAAATGTATACTAGCTAATATGTTGCTGTCAGGAATTAATGTGGATATCTGTTTACATTAATGTACAGTGATGTATAAAAACTTTCTTTTAGGGAAAAGGAAATGGAGACTTTTGTCAGTGTTATATGGGCTTACAGAAGCAATTTAAAATTACTAAACTGTCACCAGCAATGGGTTGTAAATTTAGACTATCAGCCAAAAATGATTATGGTACAAGGTAAGATGCATTGTTCATTTGTATAAATTAGTTACAGTCCAAATTAACCACTGAAAATTCTGCCTTAGTCTATTATCACTTTATTGATACAGTTAACACATGTTATTAACCTAGCAAAAGCTACAAGAGAAATTCAATTATGTAAATGGCAGTTTTTAAAAAATAATAATTCATCATTAGGTATCTGACCTAGTTACCATAAAGCTATTATCACATCAAAGATACATTACTGGAGTATAATTCATTATCAAATTTATCATTTTCACCAAGAATGTCATTTATCAAAACTGTGTTTTTTGGCTTTAGAAAATTAACTTTTCTTCATTCCTTCTTAAAAACCATTTGTTTCAACAGCGGTTTTAGTGAAGAAGTCTTATACTACACCTCAGGCTGTGCCCCATCTATGCCAGCAAGTCCTATATTAACTAGAGCCGGGGTTACTTGGTTATCCTTACAATGGAGTAAACCCTCAGGAACGCCATCAGATGAAGGAATTTCTTACATTTTAGAGATGGAGGAAGAGACTTCAGTAAGTACATGTATTTTAAATAGGGCATATAGAACATTTCAGTGTGACATTAATCCTGGTACAGTAGATGCTGCCACAGTAGCCAGCTCCTTCCCCAGGTCCTTTGAAGCCTTGGTTGGTCACTGTCTGGAAAGGACTGGACGTGAGGAACAGCTCGGCCTTTTGCTCCCTCAGTATGTGGGAGGGGGGTTTGTTTGTGTGTGTGTGTGTGTGTGCACTCTGTGCCTGGGAACAGCACAGACCCCATGTAAGTGTATATGTTCTGGGGACAGTAGAGAGAGGGCAAGATCACCACAGCCTTAGACTAAGCAGCGCTAAAAGATAAGGAAAGAGCTGTCTGCATTCTCCAGCGGTGGGCAAACGCTGCTCCCCAGGTGCCACAGAGACTTTGAAGAGCCTCACATGAGACTGTCCAGTCACAGCGTCTCGGCTCCTGTGAGAGCACTGAGCTGAGCAAGTGATAGACTGTCGTCTGTTAGTTACCTTTAGCGCCATAGCTTTTCAGAGTTACTTTGAAGCAATGTGAGTCGAAAATAGCTTGGTCCATCCTAGATATATACCCAGAAGAACTGAAAGTACATTTGTACAAAACTCTGTACCCCAGTGTTCTTAGCAGCATTAATCATAATAACCAAAAAGTGGGAATAACTGACATGTCCGTCAACTAATGTTAATAATTGGATAAACAAAATATATCCATGTAGTAGAATATCATTCAGCCATATAAAGGATTTGAGTACTGACATATGCCACACGTGAATGAGCCTTAAGAACATCATGCTAAATAAAAGAGCAAAGTCACAAAAGACCATACATTATGTGATTCCATTTATATAGGTATTGGCAAATCCGTAGAGACAGAAAGTATATTAGTGTATAAGAAAAGAGAGGAAGTGACTGCCAACCAGAAAATAAAAGTACTTTGTTTATTTAGGCTTTATTCTGGAACTAGGAATTAAATGATGGTTTTGCAAGCTTATGAATATACTGCAAACCATTGAATTTTATACTTTAAAATGGGAATTTCATGGTTTGTGAATTATATGTTTTTTTTAACTTTTAAAAATAACATTGTGAAAGTAGTGAAGCATTGTCCCTAGGGCTGGAAATAATAATGCCAAACCTAAATGACATCTCAACCTGCCAGCCCAACCAATCACTCATCTTTCACCTAAACACAGTTGTGTGTTCAGGGAGAGTTGAATATGTTAAATAGTTATAGTTTTGTTTAATTCTTGCAGCATCCGTCTGGGAAATTCCCTTAGTTCTAGGGATAAGCTTACTGATGGTGATGTTACCATTGTCTTTGATTTTCCCTCAACACAAAGACCTTCTCTTGGTTACTGTATGTACTGAGAATCAGTGGTGGTCTTTTTCCTCCTATAAATGGTCAGCAGCATTTCTTGATCTGTCTTCTGAAGATAGAAACATCAGGGAGAAGATCACAGTCAACCAGGCATTACTCACATTGCACACAGCAGAAGATGAAGGGGACCTGAATCTTTTCACATATTTCTTATTCCCCGTATTTCTGCTGTTAGGCATCTAATGAAGATTTTTTTTCCCTTTCCAGGGATATGGTTTTAAGCCTAAATATGATGGGGAAGACCTTGCTTACACAGTGAAAAATCTCAGACGTAGTACAAAGTATAAATTTAAGGTAAGCTTTGAAAGCCCTTGAAAGATTTACTGTTCTTACTGTTCTGTTTTAAAACCAAGTACATGCCTCATTCCCATAGTTTTAAATCTTAAATATTTTGGCCTTTTCTCATGAGCTTTATTGTTTTACTCTCTTACTATGTAATAATGCTTCTCAAACTTTATGTATTTAAATTCAAAGCAGTCTTAATGCTTAACAAGACTCTGTAAAATGTGAACAAAACATCTTTTAAAATGTGGGTGTCATTGAACATAGTCAGAATATGCTTTTTTGGCAGGTATATCAGAAAAAAATAACGCTGTTATACTCTTTGAAGTGCTACTTAAGGTGATATCTGCCGTGTTTCTTTGCTGTAAAGTTGTTCTTTCTCCCTTTGTAATAAGTATTTTGAAAATACTGTATAGACATCTTGTTCCTCATCAAAGTCTCACCCACTAGTTTTAACATCCATTGATAATTCTTGCCCTGAATCATTCAGTAACCATGATTAATAGTTGCCAAGTGGTGGTTTTTAACATTTCTTCAACATTGATTAGTTGGCATTATACTATAAGGAAAAGCTTTCTCTTCTCGTTTATATTAGTATGAACTCATGGATTCCTGTTTACTGAGTGGGTTATATTTTGTTGCTGTGGTTATCAGTTATGAGGTTCAAATTATCTTAGATTTTGGGAGCCCTTGTTAAGCTGACTTCTAATTTTTTTGACATGTCCCCCACCCCATCATTCTTTGAGCTCCTCCTTTCTGGCACATGATACTACATTCTCATTATGTACTTTCTCTTCTTCAAATTTGACATTGACCATTTCTCAGAGCACCTGGGTCCTTTAAGCAGACAGTGGTGTTTAGAAGTCAGGATCTGGGTAATAAGTGTAATTAGGTAATTAAGTAATAATTAAGTAATCCTTAATGCTATAGGATTTTGCTACTCCTAGGCCTCCTCTCAGTGGACAAAGCCAAGAACTAGACGTATGTGTGTATGTTTTCTGTGTATGTGTAGACACACATAGACCCTTTACATGCAGGAACACATATTTCTACATATATATCTATTTTTAAAAGTCATGAGTCTGCACCCTATACCTCCATTTGATCTAGTGCCACAGATTAATTCTAATTTTCACACTTTCCTTATTTCTAACACCCATCATCATCAGTGAGAAACTTTTCCCCATTTATATTCACGGTATTTTACTTACTGGATGAAACCCAGTAAGCCTTTTAGCCTTCCCTAAAGTCCTATCCAGAGCACTTGAGTTTGTGCAGGGTAAATGCTCCTGCCTCCGCCCAACCTTCGTCCATCCCCCAGCACACATGCTTGTCTCACTGTCCTATCTGATGGCCTTCAGACTTAATTATTTTAGGAAAGTAGAGATACTCTTTTTATATTCTTGCTCATTGGAGGCCTGGGAGACTCTACATATCATTCTTGCTCACTTGAAGCAATAGCAAGCTTTGAAAAGTCTCCTATGGAGACTCCTGAAATCCTGAATCTTTCCAAGCATCCATTCTAGGATATAGTCTATCTTTGACTTGGTCAGTGATATACATTGCTATTGCTTGGCAGACAGGGCCTTGAATTAGCTAATATACAATTTAATATAAGCCAGCCTTCATTTTCATGCAGAGGTTTTCCCAAAAATGTAACAGGATGCTTACTAGTTGACAGATTCAGCATTTGAATTTTCCTACCATTGTGTGTTTAAACAAATTATTCCAAATAAATAATAGAAGCCATTGTAAAGTTTTCACTATTAAAAAGCTTTATTACTCCTTGAGAACCTAAGAAAGAAAATTGTAGTGATATCGGGAAAGTTGTTTATGTAGTGCGTAATTATATCTGTTATGTTTTATTCTGGGCTTCCCTGCTGGCTCAGACAGTAAGGAGTATGCCTGCAATACTTACTTTGTATACTAGCTTCGCTTTCAAAATTTCTGATAGCACTGGGTCATTTTAATTTTCAAATACAGTTTTTATATTGACACAATTTACAAAGTATCTAAGGAATACATACATTTTTCCAGTTTTCCTCTTATGATGTTGGATTGCATTTTTGCTTCAGTTACAATTATAAAACCTCACCACATGGGCTTCTCCATAGGGAAGCTACACACTTTGTTAGAAGCAAGTTATTAAGGACAATTCAAAAGGAGGAGTTAACCTTTATCTTTTAAAGAGAGGAAATTCAGAGAATCTGACATTTTTTTAAATCCCTGAAAAATACTAAAAGAATAAGTTAAATCAAGCCTCGCCAAGTATCATCAGATTATATAGCTTGTTCCAGTGATGACTCTTGTTTAGTATCAAAATGTTAGACTCACTTGTATTTTCAGGACTGACTGAAAGGGGATTATACCTGAATTCTCTTCATATGTGCTGAGTTCCTTTTGAAGACAAGCAGTTCTCACATAAATCTTTGATTGACCCTGTTTGTCTCCCATCACTTTGTTCATTAAGCCAGTATCATTAAGTATCAGACATTAATTATGTCTTTGTGTTCTCATCATAGGTTATTGCTTATAACTCAGAAGGTAAAAGTAGTCCAAGTGAGGTGGTAGAGTTTACTACCTGTCCTGATAAACCTGGAGTCCCTGTAAAGCCTTCAGTTAAAGGAAAGATACATTCACATAGTTTTAAAATAACTTGGGGTAAGATATTATACATATTTGTATGTCATTACTTTTATATTTGATTTAAATTATTTGAATATTTAGATCATTTTTAAGATACTTGAGTAAATTTGTTAGCTCGGGTAAGTTCACTGAGAAATGTGAGACTCACTGAGGATCGCTTTTGGAGAGCATTGTACTCATAGATACTAAGTTCAGGTTTGATGGAGGAAGAACTTGGGGTCAACTGTAGAACTGTGAGCAGGGGCCGCCTGTGTGAAGTGAAAGATTATTGAGCTTGTAGCTAAAGTTTTCATGGCTCATTCTGGTTTTTATGAGAAATTAAAATTTCTTATTCATTTAAAACAAAAATTTATTGAGAATCTGCTTGTGTAAAAACAAAAGAGTAAATAAGATGCTGGTATTAATTTTTAAAAAGTCATTGTAGGTGATTCTTCTTTTAGAGCAATCCTGAGTTTGGTGTTCTGTTTATTATGAGTTTATGTCATTTTTTGAATTGTGTATACTCTGCCTAATACCACATTTGCTTCTTTGGATAGACCCACCAAAAGACAATGGAGGGGCAGCCATCAATAAATATGTAGTAGAGATGGCAGAAGGTTCTAATGGTAAGAATAACTATTAAAACTGATCATTTAAACCAGTCGGTCTGCCTTTAGTCTTCATGGTTCTAAATTTTACATGATGTTTTTTCGTTCCTCTTGATTTTTTCCTTTGTTTGTAGCAGATAAGATTTTGCCTGTTATGACCCACTTTAAGTTGTAATCTCCAGATATACAGTGACTCAAATGTAAGACTGCTGTATATGTATATTATTACATTCTTATTTTTTTCCTCATTGGTTTGCATTGCTCAATTTCAGTATACCTAGACTAAAGTCTTCTGAAGGTTAGCTCACTCAGATTTATACCCAGATGTATCAGAAAAATCTTCTAAAATTTAACTTATAGTAGTTTTAGTAATTTCTTTGTCTAGTGAACTTTATTCTTGAATCACACATTTTTATCTTTACATCAAATGGCCTATTTCCTTGCAAAAAATAAAGATGTCTTTTAATCAAGACTAAACTTCCTATGGTATTGGTTCTTTCTATTCTTTGTGTGTTATAATGTTATTTCTGGGCCAGTAAGCACATTTAAAATGCTTAATTAAAAGCAAATTATCGATCTAAGTCAGAGTCTGTACAGAGTTACAGAGAGATTTCACTTCAACAAAGCCATGCAAATTTGTCTAGGAAGCTGTACACATAAAGAAAATTAGATCATTTCCAGGAAACTCAAAAAACAGGCTTAAATCGTTTCTGACAAATTACATAAATGCTTACTTAGTGAAGCTACGATACCTGCCACGTCCATGATACCAAAATGTTAAACATTACCTTGTCGCTGATGGAGCATAATTTTTCCATCTTACAGGAAACAAATGGGATATGATATACAGTGGAGCTACTAGGGAACATCTTTGTGATCGACTGAATCCAGGCTGTTTCTATCGTTTTCGAGTTTACTGCATCAGTGATGGAGGACAGAGTGCGGTAATACTTACGTGTTGATTGTTTTTCTCAAGTTTGGTCAAATGAGATGAAATCATCAGATGCCACCTCAAATATTGAAGTACATCCATAAAATGTATAACCCAGGTGGTTAAATTTTTAGTGACCAGACTAGCTTAATGCAGTATTTAGCTTGTAGTGAATATCTGTTGTCTGGTTGCTGTTCAGCTTTGGAGAAAATAGGTATACAAAAACATTGTAGAAAATTTTATAAATTTTAGAATGATGCTCAATTAACCCTATCTAATAGAAATAGAAACAAAATAATTATTTAGACACAAATTCTAAATATACACTTATTTCAGAAAAGTTTGGCAATTATTTTATTTCTTACTAGAGACAGAAATGGATTTAAATGTGCCATTGATTATATATGAGACATTTGTAATACTCTGGAAAAGTATAATGTTTTTTAATAGGAGTGATTTTTTAATGAATTCAACCAATAATGTATCTTAGAGCATTCATAATTGTTATTTTTTTCAAATGAGATTTAATGCAATGAAAGTAATTTTTTTTTTAATGAATTAGGAGCATTTTGTTGAAAATGAGAGTACAGTGAAATTGAGTTGCAAGTCATACACAACAGGCTTTGGATCCAATTTAATACAGTGCAGATAATGAATATAGCACTGAGTTTGTGTCAGTGCTTTTAAGAGAATGTCTTTTAAAATAAAACTAAAAGTTTTATTAAAATAAACTTTTATTTAAACTATTTTATTTTTATTTAAGCTATTTTATTTAAAATTAAAAGTAGCATAGAAACGAAAACTAATACCAAATACCTAGAAAGATGCCAAGTACTTTCGAACACTTATCTGATCTTTAAACTATTTTTAGGGTGAAAGAAAAGATTTTTTTTTGTTAATATTAGCGTTTAGGTTGAAAAATACAGTCAAGTGGGCAAAATAGTCTAAACCTCCTAAAAACACAGCAAACAGCATTTATAGAATGTTAAACATTCTTCTTTAGAAGAGATTTGTAGATCCATTTGGACACCAAAAATAATGTCCATTAGGTTATGAGGGAGGTTTTTTTTTTTTTTTAATTATGGAAAGAAGAAAAGAGTTCTTTTTTGGCGTTTGTTGTGTTGTTTTTTTGTTTTTCTGGTAACTTTATATCTAGTAAGCACATAATACTTGCCTGTGTAAAATTTATGTTTTAATGATTTAATTAGATTTGATTTTATTCAGAACTTCATTCCTTTTCTGTTGATACTCAGATGCAAATTATTGGTGCAGTCTTTGTGTTTGTCTTGTTTTCCTTTAACAAAAGCAGTCTGATTATTTGGCTTGGGGCATTTTTGTTTTGTTTTTGCTTTTGTTTTGGCAGGTATCTGAATCTTTACTTGTGCAGACTCCAGCTGTGCCTCCTGGCCCATGCCTCCCTCCCAGATTACAGGGTAGACCCAAAGCAAAAGAAATACAGTTACGATGGGGTAATTTTCATTTTGGTAATAAATTATAATTAAGTCGGTACTAAATATATTCCTCTTGTTTAACTGCGTGAATCTTTCCACCTTTAGGACCCCCTCTGGTCAATGGTGGATCACCCATTTCTTGCTATGGGGTGGAAATGTCTCCTGTAGAAAGAGATGAACCCAGAGAAGTTTACCAAGGTCCTGAAGTAGAATGTACAGTGAGCAACCTTCTTCCTGGAAAGACTTACAGCTTCAGACTACGTGCAGCTAACAAAATGGGGGTAGGAAAACCGAGCTGACTGAATTATAAATCCCAGTATTTCATACAACATGTCATTGTGCCCATTATTTGACCATTTTGCTTTCAACATGTGACTCCAAATTTTACAATTTTTAATAAGCGTCTGTTGAGAAATGAGAAGTCAGTATGTACCATAGCTTAACTGTTACAGAATCTCAGTACTTTAAAACTCCAATTACTAATATATGACACTTTGAATTTGAGCTGAGCCTTTCAGGCAGTGCTGATAGAGTTTACTTAGTAAGAAGAGTAGAAACATGATCATAAGAGGAAATACTTAAGAGTAAGTAAGTGTTTTGAGGCTGGTTGTACGCAGTGTTTATTTCCAGTTGACAACTACTCGTGATTCATTTTTTTTGCCTAAGGGAAAAAACTTATATTCTAAGCATTTCTGGTTTTGTGTATTTTTTTGTTTGTTTTTAATTATCTCTGTATCTGTATAACTCCATAAAATGGACAGAATAGGTGATATCTCCATTTTATAGCTGAGGAAGCTGGGGCACCTGAAAGCTAAACTCCTTGCCCCAGCAGTCACACACACTAAAAAGTGGGAGACATCAGTCACTGTGTCCGACTTTGGAGCCAAAACCCTTAACGCTCAACTGTGACATCTTTGATCTCTGAAATAAAAGTTCTCTGAGGACCAGCCAGTTACTTCTGATTTTGAGTTAGCACTGTATTTCTTAAACTACACAGTATGATTAAAATTTCATGAAATTAAACTGACAAGTCTTTCCCCATTGTTTCAGATTTTAGTAAACTCTGATAATCTTGTCAGCCCCACAAAGCTGCAGTACATGGGATAGCATCTTTAATACTAGTGTCTATAATCTGTGTTTTCAGGTTTTTAATAACTTGTCAGAATCATCTTAAGTAAATATTTGTTCCCTATATTTTCACAGAATGCATTTTTACACCCTACTAAAGCTATTACTTAAGTTATAATTTATGCCTATAATCTCTCATGCCTTTAATTGGTATTCATTTCTTCACTCTTTACTTGCTTGATTTGTTCTTTTTATTCGACCTAATTCCTGAATTCCCCTCCCTTCTTACAAAAAACCAATTCATGAAGGAATAAGGGGCAAGAGAAGAAACTATAGTAAATGAAACTTTAAAATACCTCAGATATTTACTTCCATGATCATTAATTAAATCTTTACTTTCTGTGATTTCTTTTAGGAGAATTTTATTATGACTAATTAGTCTTAAAGGAAAGGGATGATTAATTATCTGTGAATATTTATGGAGAGCTGTGCAACTGGTAGGTGAAAAATGAAAACACTGATTAATATTTGTTTTTCTAGTTTGGGCCATTTTCAGAAAAACATGATATTACTACAGCTCCTGGACCACCAGATCAGTGTAAGCCCCCTCAAGTGACGTGCAGATCTGCAACTTGTGCACAAGTGAACTGGGAGGTATTGTAATTTCCTTCACTTATATTTGCTTTAAATGATTAAAATAATTTTACATAAAAGAATGAAGATACTGCTCATTTCATCTCCATAAATTATATAAAGAGTTAAAGTCCTCTTTAAATTCACTTGGTAAAAAGTAAATTCTTTTTTCTCTTCGAAGTATTTAAATAAGGTATATGTTTACAAGTATTTAGATTCTTGTTGATGATGGTGCCCCATCTCAGTACTGAGATATTTAGCCATGGTGCACTTAATGTTCAGAACAAACATTCATAGGAATTAGTGTGTACTCTTTCTCTCATGTTCATTATCTTCCATATACTTACTGCATATAGTAGTAATCAATAATGATGATTACATTTTCTGTTTCCTTTGAAATTTAACAAAGAAAATATCCTCATATGATTTAACATTTATATTACTTAACAGAATTATTTTAAAGTATATTTACCTTAAGATACTCTTAAGTGATTGAATCATATTTCTATGTCTGATTGAAAACAGTTATATTTTTGATAGATCTTTAATTCAGGTGGCCTTAATGAATAAAAATGTAATATTAAACAGTTTATATTCTGTTAAACATTTTTTTAGAAATCCAAAAACAGTTCAGTTTTTTACATGCTTGGGTAAGTAACATTTTTGCCCCAAAACTATGTAATCATTATCAGAACTTAAGACAAAAGACTTTATCCCCTTTTCTTTACTTTAAGGTCCCTTTGAGTAATGGAACTGATGTCACTGAATATCGATTGGAATGGGGAGGAGTTGAAGGAAGTATGCAGATATGTTACTGCGGGCCCGGTCTCAGTTACGAATTAAAAGGACTTTCACCAGCAACTACCTATTATTGCAGAGTCCAGGTAAAAGTGGTTAGGGTCTTGTCACTCTATCTAGAGTTTTGTGTTTTGTGAGCATTTGCATGATTATGTCTTTAACTTTGGGGCTCTCTTAATTTGTAGGCTCTGAGCATTGTGGGTGCAGGCCCTTTTAGTGAAGTAGTAGCCTGTATGACTCCACCATCAGTTCCTGCTATTGTGACTTGTCTTCAAGAAATAAGTGATGATGATATAGAAAATCCCAATTATTCACCATCTACATGCCTTGCAATAAGCTGGGGAAAGCCTTGTGATCATGGTTCAGAAATCCTTGCCTACAGCATAGACTTTGGAGATAAACAGCCCTTGACAGTGGGAAAGGTTACAAACTACATTCTAGACAATCTGCAGCCAGATACAACATACAGGTACACAGCAAAAACTATCTTAATTTTTGCCTAGACCAGAGAGACACTAAATAGAATAATCATAAACTAAACGTTTTTTTTTGTTGTTTGTTTTTAATATGGCACTTAGAATACGAATTCAAGCCTTGAATAGCCTTGGAGCTGGTCCTTTCAGCCACACAATAAAATTAAAAACTAAACCCCTCCCTCCTGATCCACCTCGTCTGGAATGCGTTGCCTTCAGCCACCAGAACCTTAAACTGAAGTGGGGAGAAGGAACCCCAAAGACATTGTCAACAGATTCGGTTCAGTACCACCTTCAGATGGAGGATAAGAATGGAAGGTGGGTGTTTCTAATTGCTTCTTTATATAGTTTCTTAGGTCTTAAGTATATAAATTTTTTTTAACACTAGAAATAAATTAAGTTTTCAAAAACAGAAGTCTCATAAGAAATAATTTTTAAGTATGCCATTTTTGAAACATCAGAAGACATAGTGAAGAGAGAAAATAATAGGGAAGCTGGTTTTTGGCTGTCTAACCCATTCACTCTCTTCAAGCTAGTAAAAGGAGCAATCTTTACTGCAAAATAAGTTCTTCAATGCTGATTTCCAGCAAGAGGCAGTTTTTACAGTAAACAGTTGATTGGCATAAGGCCTTTGAGATCCTTGGGGGTTATATCTCACCCTCCCACACACTCTCACAGGGCGTGCACATCATGTGAATGCAGGAGTTCACTTCCTCACCATCAGATCTTAGACCCTCTAATAAATAGTCCAGCCCCTGGCTACTCAGGTTCCTCTCTGTTCTGCTGTCCTTGGCCATCTCATGACATGGGTGCTGTTTTATTCCACTAAATCATGCATTTGAATTATAGTGTTACTCAAAGTAATTAGTGCAAATTATTCAAAATCCAATCTGGAGCAGTATATTGATATTAAATCAAAAATACACAATGCCATATATCTTCCCCAGTTGTTACTTTAATCTTTTAAGAATTTTGTTTTGTTTATGTTTTTTATGTTTCACTCAATTTGTTAGAAATAAATTTGTGTGTCTGATAGAGTAGTAATGACAGTTTTTCCCAAGGCTACTTTGTTTTTTGCATTGGGTTTGTATGTCAGCCAAATATTCAACAATGGAATACTCAAGGTACTTGTATATCAGTGCTTTCTATCAGAAATAATTACACATTTAAAATAGCATACAGAATTAAACATCCTGTATCAATCATAAGAGCATTACACAGAGCAGATAGTATTGATCATTTATCTCCTGAAATCTGTGCCTCTCTGAATATTAGCCTTTGCTCCTGGCAGAATTTTATGTACTCTTTGTAACCTTACATCTGGAAGGAAGTTTTTTGCCTTGCTGCACGTTTTTGGTATAGACATTTATCTTTAATATATGTTGTTATTGTTAGGTGAATTAATTAATTTACATTTAGGGTCATGCAAGATTTACTAGAAACAGACTTAATTGGTATTTGGTTGAAAAATAATAGAACAAAGAGTCTATGAAGTATAGATGATATTAGTCTATATTCTATTGTAGAACTTTAAGCATGATTAATGTTTAGCTGGCATCTAGAGAACTGTTGCAGGGTATGGGGTATGGCTTATGGTCTTTGTGGAAAATAAAGTGTTTTATGATATTGTAAATTTACCACATGAATTTCATAAATTAAATCAAATCAATTTAATATCTTTTCTTTCCTTTGATTTTTCACAACTCTTCACATTTGTTGTGGGATCGTGTCGGAACGCTACCTCATCTGTTCCCTGACCACAGGTGTTTATCATGGTTCAGCTTTTTACAACAGTGGCTTTGCCACTGGTTTTTTTAATCCTCTCAGTTTTAAAAAAAAAAAGGAGATTCAAAAGGCAAGGCTATCCAATTACTACTTCTTGGAAACAGTGTTACTAACGATCATTAAGTATTCCTTCATTTTAAACTAACTACAATTTTCAGACTGTTAGAACTACATGAGTATTCATTATTCATTCCTCAATTTCCAAAAATTTTTAAAACAGCCAATTAAAAATTTGGAGAACATTCAGCATATATATGACATCAGTTCAGTTCAATTCAGTCGCTCAGTCGTGTCCGACTCTTTGTGACCCCATGAATCGCAACACGCCAGGTCTCCCTGTCCATCACCACCTCCCAGAGTTTACTCAAACTCATGCCCATTGAGTCGGTGATGCCATCCAGCCATCTCATCCTCTGTCGTCCCCTTCTCCTCCTGCCCCCAATCCCTCCCAGCATCAGGGTCTTTTCCAAAGCGTCAACTCTTCACATGAGGTGGCCAAAGTATTGAAGTTTCAGCTTCAGCATCAGTCCTTCCAATGAACACCCAGGACTGATCTCCTTTAGGATGGACTGGTTGGATCTCCTTTTAGTCCAAGGGACTCTCAAGAGTCTTCTCCAACACCACAGTTCAAAAACATCAATTCTTCGGCACTCAGCTTTCTTTATAGTCCAACTCTCACATCCATACATGACCACTGGAAAAACCATAGCCTTGACCAGACGAACCTTTGTTGGCAAAGTAATGTCTCTGCTTTTTAATATGCTGTCTAGGTTGGTCATAGCTTTCCTTCCAAGGAGTAAGCGTCTTTTAATTTCATGGCTGCAGTCACCATCTGCAGTGATTTTGAAGCCCAAAAAAATAAAGTCTGCCACTGTTTCCCCATCTATTTGCCATGAAGTGATGGGACCAGATGCCATGATCTTAGTTTTCTGAATGTTGAGCTTTAATCCAACTTTTTCACTCTCCTCTTTCACTTTCATCAAGAGGCTTTTTAGTTCCTCTTCAGTTTCTGCCATAAGCGTGGTGTCATCTGCATATCTGAGGTTATTGATATTTCTCTGGGCAATCTTGATTCCAGCTTGTGCCTCTTCCAGCCCAGCATTTCTCATGATGTACTCTGCATATAAGTTAAATAATCAGGGTGACAATATACAGCCTTGATGTACTCCTTTTCCTATTTGGAACCAGTCTGTTGTTCCATGTCCAGTTCTAACTGTTGCTTCCTGACCTGCATACAGGTTTGTCAAGAGGCAGGTCAGGTGGTCTGGTATTCCCATGTCTTTCAGAATTTTCCACAGTTTATTGTGATCCACAGTCTGACACTAAACTTTCCATTGAACAGTTCAAGTGGATAATTTATGGGAAATTAAATACAGTGTTATCTCATACTGTTAGGTAAACATTAAGAAAACCTCACTAAATCAATTAAAATTATGCCTAGGAAAGGGAACTATCTTTTTTATGTGACAAACTGTATGCCTGTTACTCTAGTTAGAAACAATTGATAATGAAAATTGTGATGTTCTGAATGTCTTTTAAGATGTATACATTCAAAAACAGCAGTCAGAAGCAAAGCTATACCAGAAGCCTGAAAAGAAACAGTTACTGTGATTGGATGTGAAATTTTGCAATAAATTTTCAGGAAACTATGGCAAATTGGGAAATTAACTAATTCTGTGATTTTCATCTGATGAAAAATAGGATTTATTGAGTGACAAACCATTGTGGCATTAAATTCTAGGAGTAACTTACTGCTCCTAAATAATGTCTGAACTGTTCTTTTTTAGTGGTTTTTAAACATTTTTCATAAGGTAGCCAAGGTTTATTTTTCATAAGTCATTTCCATTTTAGGTTTGTATCCTTATACAGAGGTCCATGTCATACATACAAAGTACAAAGACTTAACGAGTCGACGTCCTATAAATTCTGTATTCAAGCTTGTAATGAAGCAGGGGAAGGTCCTCTTTCCCAAGAATATATTTTCACTACTCCAAAATCTGTCCCAGCTGCCCTGAAAGGTAAGTTCTCCATCCTCAAGTTACTTGCTATAATAGTAAATTAATCTTAAGTGCTCTTTCATAATGTACGTTTTGTACAGTTAAAATTTATCATCTAGTATGTGTCTAACATTCAAATTATAAAAAGGAAATGAGCTAGACAGGCCTACTTGGGGTTTCACTTAATAATAAAAGCTATTTTATCTGGCATATTGATAATCAGACAGTGCTGTTTTTTGTCACTCATCTTTTAAATAAACATACTAAATTGAATAGATAGGCTGGTTTTCTAATAGGGCCATTTACCGTTTTCACTATTGTTAAAGAAAAAAATCACAATTCTTGTTGTTTTGAGTCATTGCTATTTCATTCATTTGGATTTCAGGGGGAAAGTCAGGTCATCTATTTAGCAAAACATAAATACTCAGTTAATTTGAATTTTTAAGTCAAATTTACATACACATTCACACATTTGTGCGTGTGTTATATATTTAAGATTAATTTCAGCAGAATTCTTATTTTAAAGTGACCCTGGCAAGTATTGCACTTTGTGCATTTAGCCAAGAAAAAGCTAAAATTCCTTTCCCTCTGAGGACAAATCACAAACACTTCTAGTACAGTGTCATGGATCATATACTTGCATGTACCATCTGTTAACGACCCATAATATCAAGATTATTCTTGAATACTCCTTCTAATAATGTTAATGGATTTCACAGTTATTTTTCTGTTTCTTCATCTGGTTTGGTTGTCTCTTAACCTTAAGAAGATTGCTGGTTTTGATACCTTCTACCCCACTACTGAGTCATATGTGTGGTCAGGAAGTTGGGGGTGTTTTTCAACTCATTCTCTTAGGAAATTTCTTAAATTATAAAATTTCATGTTCTAGTTATGCTCTTTGAAGTACCATAAAAGATGTTGTAGAACTACCACAAGCTTTTTAGCTCAGTGAAAACAGTACTTATCTTGACGGATCTTTTAATCAGTCTGCATCGTAATGCTTATAGATTGTATGGCCTGGAGGATATAAGAGTTAGCCATTGACCATTTCTCTGCAGATTTCAAAAATTCACTGATGCTTACTTCAAGTTTATAACTAGGTTTTAAAGTCTGTTGATTTTGATTAAAACAAAAGTATGTGATGTGTCAAGTGAAAAATCAAGTCAAGCAGATTTTATTTATATTTCTTCTCTACAGCCCCCAAAATAGAGAAAGTAAATGATCACATTTGTGATATTACATGGGAGTGTTTACAGCCAATGAAAGGTGATCCAGTTATTTACAGTCTCCAGGTTATGGTGGGAAAAGATTCAGAGTTCAAACAGGTATGTGTCAAAATATAATTCTATAGATACATGTTTTTACCTTTTTCACTTTAACGTATTTTTAGTACAAGATTTGACTAACCTTTATCTTCCTAATTCAGAAACATTTGTTCAGTGCTTACTGTGTTCCAAAGATTAGTAACTACACAGTATATCAGCATTCAAAATCTTTTAGGTATGAGCTGTACTTAAACAGAGTATTCATTCATTTGATAGGCTTTATTGAATTCTGTGCCAGGCACTCAGGATACGCATGTAACAAAAAGTCCTTGCCTTCATGCTGCTTACATTCTAGAATGCAGAAAAAAGATACTAAAAGCAGATAAACACATCACTGTATCAGTGTTAGATAGTGATGAGCACAATGGAGAAAAAATAAAACTGGATAAAAGGAGTAGGGAGTACTAGGACAAGGGACAGCTAGTGCTGTTTCATACAGGACAGCAGGTAACATTTGAACAGAGACTCAAAGGAAGTGAATATGGGGAGAAGAGTATTCCAAAAAGCAGGAACAGTAGGTGCAAAGGCCCTGAGGTAGGAGCATGCTTGTTAAATTTAATGACAAGAAGTCACTGTGGCTGGGGCAGTGTGACCAAGGGGAGGAATAATAGATGATGTCAAGGAGTTAATCATAGAGGGTCTGTGAGCAGCATGGAGGTCATGCAGGGTGTTATAGGCCACGCTCCAGCATTTACTCCACGTGAAATGAGAAGCCAGTGGAGGGTTGTGACCAGAGTAGTCACATGATCAGACACAAGGTCATTGTGACCAGAGTAGGATGAGGACAGATGCAGACACCACCGAGGTGACTTTGACAATGTTGGTAATAGTCATAGTCAGAGGGCAGAGTTGCAGTATGGAAGCCTAGAGGAAGTATCACCTTCCCAGCCGAGAAGTTTCAAAGACGGATTCCTGGTAGAGAATGAATAGTCGATGAAGTAAGGAGCTGTCAGTATTCATTATAACTTATAAAAGAGGTCTTTATGCAACTCAAAAGCCTTATTTCTTTAGGCATTTCATCTGCTTCTCCCTTTTTGCTGTCGAACTTCTTGATTTTTGAGGGCTTTTAAACTGGGTTGTTTTTAATTCAGTATCTTACCTTGTATTTTCTTTTCCCAGTGGAAAAATCAGTCATTCATCTGTTTTATTTCATTCTTGTGCTGTTATAATTATTAATAATAGATTACTTCTCAATATAGGTATAATTTTTTCCTTTCAAGTTTCGCTAAATATGGAAGCATAATTTCTTAACCAAAATTACAGAAGGCCCCAAAGGGTCAGATTAAATTTGGAATGTGGTGGTTTTTCTTTATTAAGTCATCTGCAAATTGACATGATAATTGGATTTGAATATAATTTACAGATAAGCAGGTTTCCTTCCAAGGAAGAAATAAAATTAATACTAAAGAAAATGTAATTGCATTACATGTTTAAAGGAAATAGGGATCCCACATTTGAGTAGTATGTGAACACATCACTACATGAAACAGCAGTGCTAATTCTAATTTAAAAGCTAAATTATCCCTATCAACACTCTTACTTTAGATTGTAAGCATACTGTAAAACTGATTTCCTTAGAACTTCATCATATATATGCATGTATGTATGCTCATCTAAATCTCTTAAATGTTTATATAATTTTATAATTTACTGACAAATTATATTCTAAAAGTTTGAAGGTCATTTTTTAAGAGTTTGATCTCATTCATGGAATTTAATATTTTACTTAAAATTTACTTGATATTCAATATACATGTATTAAATACTACATATGAAGAAATAGAGGGGGCTACATTATTAATATTACTGTTCTTATTTTCCACTTATTACACATTAGCAAGCAAGCAGAAATACTATAATTGACATTTTATGTAAGCAAACAAAAGGTCATAATAAAGATAAAACATACTTTATAAGAAGAAATGATTTTTTTCCCCTTGGACTTTAGAATGTTTTCCAAAAGGATTATCACTGAAGGGACTCTTGAGGGGCTGGGACTTGAGAAAGGCTCAAGTTCTACAGCAGTAGAACTGTTGATGTTTTTAAGTAGGGGATTATTTTTTTAAAAGTTGGTGGTTGACTTTCTAGGCTAGCCTATAAAGACCTGTTTAACCTGTAATGCTGCTGGTTTGGGGGATCTGAAAGCAAATTAGCGTGGCAGCAACCACTACTTCTGACCCTGGGCCACACTTAGAGTTCTTTATCTTCTAACCTTTTCTGCCCTGTTTGATCAGTCATTTGCTTTGACCAGACTTCCCGCCCTGTAGCACCTCACCAAGGCTTGGCCTAGTTCTCTAAAATTACACTCTTGCCCTGACTCTTGCCTCCCTCCCTCACATACATTGTAACTCTCATCTCCACAGTATAACTGACCTTATGGGCATTAGGAGAAAAACTTTTGCTTGGGAAAATTCATATCAAAAGTCAAGTGTCTGCTGGCTCTTTGATCCTCCCAGCAGTGTATACATTTTTTAAAGCAAGTGCTTTTTAACCAAAGCAGCATTTCAAGTGGTATAACAGAGTGAAGTAAAAATATTGGGGGACAGTAGAACCACCTTCAAAGTAGATAATTCCCATTTGGGAGTCTGTACCTGAAACAGTTCTTGTGTCCAAACTCATTAATGTTACAAGTACCAGGAAAATTAATTCAAATTAGTGTATAAAGTATAAATCCTCTTAGAGAGAAGCCTGTAGGTAGGCAGGTTGATCCAGGAGCTTAATGCAGTCATCAGGGACATAGTTTCTCTCAGTGTTCATTGCCTGCCATGGGGAACTTACTCTTCCTTATCACATTCAGCAAAGTCCTGTATCTACAGTTACCTCTAGGATGTCTCCCTGTTTAGACATCTTCCCAACATCTAAGAAAAAATGATTTTATCATCTTCCTTCCCAGTCTCTTCTCTCCACTTTCCTCCTCATTTATCACTATCATAAACACTTCGGTATCCATAAACACTTCCTGGTAGCTCAGCTGGTAAAGAATCCACCTGCAATGCGGAGGGTCGGGAAGATCCCCTGGAGAAGGGAACGGCTGCCCACTCCAGTATTCTTGCCTGGAGCATTCCATGGGCAGAGTAGCCTGGCGGGTTACAGTCCATGGGGTTGCAGAGAGTCAGACACAACTGAGCAACTAACAGTTTCACTTGAAACCTTGTGCTTTTATCGCCAAGAGCCCCTGTCATGCCCAACTCCCTCAATCCCTCACTCAACCTTATGATCAGGATTCCTTAAACACTTTAAATAGCACACAGTAAAGTGGCCCCTGGGGAATTAGACCTAAATTTCCAGTTAGTGTATTAACATGGTCCTCTTCTCGGTGTCAAATCGCCCCACCTGTCACCCTCATGCCATTTGTTCAGGTTTTTTCCTAAATCATTTTCTCATGATCATTTGGAGATAAATTGGAAAGTAAAGAAAATTTCAAAGGCAAAAATGAGTATCATCCACTGTACCTATAGGACAAATAACTTTTACTAAATTGACCCATTGTATGTATATTGTTTCACACTGCTTTCTAATACAGTCTTCTGATTTACTTAAGTTCATCCTTTTACCATCGATGAGACATAAATCATTTCTACATTCCCACTCCCTGAAATGCTCATCTGCATCTTCAGGACTAAGGCATATTCAGCATTTTTTAAAGACTGATTTTTCAATAAAAATTCATTTGTATATCTTTTCAGTATCTACCAATACACATTTTGATATATACATAGTGAATACTAATATTGTGGCCTTTTATTAATAAGTACCTGTTATATGCTGGAGACGCAGAATTGAGGGAAAGATCTTACCTTGCTCATTTGGGAGCAAACCAGTATGTAAAAATTTCGATTTATAACACGGATACAAACAAGGCAGCTAAAATTGCTTGACCTTACTTGTAACCCACCAACTAGCTGGGGAAACTCAACTGGGAAACCATTGAGTCTTGGTCTTTTCATTTAGAGAATGAGTGAAGGGATTCAGTAATGGAAGTGAGAGCTTCCATATATTGAGCACTCGCTATATGCTGGGCACTGTGCTAAGAAGTGCCATGACATTAGTTTACTTCATTCTCATAATTACCATACAGGACGACTACTATCACACCATCACGGCGTGTGCAGGGGTAGAGCAGAGCTCGGAGCCCAGTCCCTGCAGTCACTAGCCCTCTGCTTTGAAAATCTGTGGAATTCCATTCTTGTTATTGCCCTTCTGGGGGATTGAGCAGAAGAGTTGGGTTTTAAGATCTAATTCTATGGTTCTAAGTGATCTCTCATTTTGAAGTTTATAAAATGATTTGCCACAGACACCTGCAGCAAGCTCTCCTTTTTCATTTATTATTTCATTCATCACATCTGTTTGAAACATTAAAGAAAACCAGTTTTACAAAGATACCATGGGAGAGGAAGATTAGACACTGTCCCTCTCTTCATGCAATGATTTCACAAAGTTTGACTTCGTACATTTGGTGAAACCAGAGAAGCGCCTGTGAGCCAATCGTGCTTATTCTGTAGCCACTCTGGGGGCACTTCTTCCTTCTCCAGCTGCTCTGTAGGCTCTGTGAGGGGAGATGGCACACCCCGACTCTTCAGATTTCCCCTGCAATTATACAGCAGACAGTTGAGTTCTTTAACATATAGGTATTTTAAAATCTCATTTAAAAGAGCCAGGCAGTGGCTCTCACAAGCATCCATGTCAAAAATAACTCTAAACCTAGCCAATTTTAACACAGATTTTCTACCCATCCTTCACGTACAATTCTTCTTTTCCTCGTGTCTTACTGTCAGATTTACAGAGGTCCTGACTCTTCATTCCGGTATTCAAGCCTTCAGCTGAACTGTGAATATCGTTTCCGCGTGTGTGCCATTCGCCAGTGCCAAGACCCTGCGGGGCATCAGGACCTCGTCGGTCCCTACAGCACGACAGTGCTCTTCATCTCCCAGAGGACTGAACCACCAGCCAGCGCCAGCAGAGACACTGTGGAAGGCTCGAGGCCCGGGCGGGCACTCAGCGACGAGCAGTGCGCGGCCGTCATCCTCGTGCTCTTTGCGTTCTTTTCCATTTTGATTGCCTTTATCATCCAGTACTTTGTAATCAAGTGAAAATATAACTTTATTTTTAATATTACATTTTATTTTGTCATGTACTAAAATTATTTCTGTATTGCTTTTACAAAAACAGTGGCATTTAGCACTGGCATTGAGACTCTAGTACATCATTTTGGCCATTTTTAATGCTTTATATTGCTAGGTAGAGGCTGGCACCTTATTAGAATGCAAGCCACAGAAATAGCAATTTTTGGCTTTTTGTTTGGTTGGGGCTCTTTTTTTTCCTTTCTTTCTTTCTTTTTTTTGACATGCCTTCTTGTGAAACAAAATTTCTGAGAGGCAACAATACAAATTATAATTGATATTTTGACCAGTCGGCATGAGTATAACAGTGACATCCTGATCTGTTTGTTCTAAAGATTATTACCTAGTGAAAAATTCAGAATGGTTAAAATTCACACTAACATACTATAGAAAAATGTTAAAGTATGATGATGCTGTGAAAGCAATCTAGTGCTATATTTCTACCTCCTCATTTGTCTTAATTTGGTAAGTGGGATTATGATGAATAACTGGAGGGGCTTAGCAGACAAAAACTGGATGAAAGAATATGCATGGAAAAAAGCTTCTTGTTTGATAAATGTGGAGTTCTTCATTACAAGTATATATCCATGAATTCACAGATAAGTCACTTGAAGAAAGCACAGACAGTTTACTTGGCCTAAAAATATTTTAACGTTTACTCAGAAATACATCTTCAAGTCTTGAAAACATGGAAAAGAACAGAGGGCTTTTAGATAGTTAACTTTTTAAAAGTACTTCATAATCAGTTCTGAATTTCAAACTTATTTGATTTTTGAGCCTTTGAACTATATGTGTGTGTATAAGGACATGCACGTACATATGGCTTTATATATACCAAGTGTAGAAATATATATATATAATATATATACACACAAACACATACACTCTCACTCCATCTATCTGGTATAGGCTAATTTTGAAGAACTCCCATAAGTTTTGCTGCTTCTCCCATAACTACTGCCATCACCATCAGATTTCATAATCAAACCTAACCTTTTTGTTTGGGGCACCAAATCTGAAGACAAAATTAATTTGCACCAGTAAACTTCAAGCTGCTTTCTTTCTTGAAAAACTAATGTTTAATGTAATGTCTGTTTGGATACTGTTCCAGTTGTTGATAGCATGTGGTTAATGTTGCATTAGAGCACTTTGCAATTACATAATTCATTAATGTTTTGTGAGCTTGCATTTGTGAGTTATTGGATGATCAGATTGAATCTTGTCAAGTATCACATTGTACATCTTGCATAGATGTCCATGACTGCCAGTAATAATACAGTTTGTAATGAAACTATCTAAAATTCTTGTTTTATCACATCTGTTATCTGTAAAACACTTGTAACTAGCCTTTTTAATTTATTATTTGAATTTTAGGATAGTGAATCACTAATTTTTAGTTGCTGAGGTTAGCATTTTAGTGATTACTAAGCACTTCTGTCAGTCTTTGAAAAAAAGGACGTATGTTTTGTGCTTTGAAGATCTCTGAAGAATTTCTTCTATTAGAATGGGCATGTATTGTAATTGTTTTATGTCAAATGATCTGTGCTGTAGAAAAAAACATTAACTTTTGTTCAAAAAGGAAATGGATAAACTTGGCCTTCCCAAGTGGTAAGAATGATCTGTCACTATAAAATACTGTATGTTTACATTTTATTTAAATTTAACCTCTTATATGTAGGCTGATAACTTCCCCAAAAACAGTGATTGTTTTCTAGAAACTTCTTAAAAGTGCCACATTTGGCAGTACAAATGAGTTTGAGTGTAATAGCCCAGAGATTTCTATATAGTTGAATGTCTAAAATGGTAAAATGTGCCACTGTGGCAGTTACAGTGGCTTATGTTTTTCATAGTATCTCAAATGAACTCCTATTTTTGATAGTAAATGTCATTTAATAGTGTACTTGCCATTTGAGCCTCACTGCAAAATGAGTGCAGAGGAGAAACAATTTTTAATGTAATCCTGATTTTACCTCATATACTGTACATTCCAAAAACTCTAAACTTTTTAAAGATTATAGATACACTACCAAACATATCACCTTAAAATTGTGTAAGGATGAACTTCATACAGATGAAAAAATATAATCTCATAAAAATACATAAACTATGTAGCAAAAATATCTTTAAAATCCATGGAAAATAAAAGTTGTATCATTCTTTTTTTGAGCTATGTTTATTGTATTCATAAACATTATTTGCTGCCTCTTTTTTGGAGAATGAAATGTTAAGGTCTCCCCTCTTGCAATTGGCTTACAACAGTTTCCCCAAAATAATTAAATCTTCAACAGGAGAGGATCCATATTCAAGAAGGTCAAGTTTTATCCTAGTGAGCTGATTTTGTGCAATTCACTATATACCTAAATATAAAGAAAACAAGATATCTAATGAATAAAGATGGGTCTGAGGTAAACTTCCCATTGGAAAGAAAATCTGACCTCTCCTCACCTATCCTGCATTCCTTGCCTTCTTTCCCACCTACAGGGGCCCAGAACGAGGTCTGCTTTCCACCAGAAGGTTCAACATTCCCTCCTACTTAATACCATAAAGTTCTCACATGTACCAGGACATTCAACATCCCTTATTTATCTCAAAATTTCCATCCCACAGACCTCATCCAGGGATACATTGCTTTTTAAAATCTAAGTGGATCTATAATTGCTGCAACTGTAGGCACCACAAGAAAGTTTAAAATGTTAGGCTGGGGAAGATGAGAAACTGGACCTAGGGGCATTGCTGCATGGAAGCAACTGAATTGGAATCCACCCTTGAGAACAGGATACTGGATTCAGGGTTCTGCGTCACCTCTTTTTTTTTCCTATAGATTGGAAATAGGAACATTACATGTTGTGCTTAAGCATTTTGTGGGTTGGTTTCCAACATGTGTATGTACCTTAACATCATCAGCAGATTCTCTGCAGGAGGAACCCATGTCTATGGTGGCTCAGTCAGACAAACAGCCTGCAAAAAGGAAATGGGTCCCGTGAACCTAACACTTGTCATCCTAGAATCTAAACACCTACCATCAACATAGGTAACCACAGTGCTTTGTGTTTTTTAAACACCCTGGTCTCCCACATTGCAGGTAGAGTCTTTTATTGTCTGAGCCACGGAAAGCTTTTAAATATCACAGATTGAGAATAATCTGTATGTGTCCCTTTACTCATTTGTTTTCTCCCTGACTCAAAGGAGAAGTTGAAAGAAGAACTAAGATTTTAATTGGGGTCAGCAAACCTTCAGTGTCTGCAGTGGTGCCTTCAAATGTTTAGATGTTATAAGGACTATTTTCCATCTTATATATAACAGGATGCTGTGGGAAATTTGCCAAGAGAAAAGTTTCAAAAACATTTTAAAGCCACATGACCCATTCAAATCATAACAACATCTGTTGACCACTCAGTGTGTTAAAGATGTTGTATTCGGTGTTTTACCTTAGTTATTTCACAATCCTTTAAATTGCTCCGTTAAGTATATCTGGAGCACAGAGCATTACCTGCTAAAGATCACATGGCTAATAAGTGAGAAGCCCGAGATTAGATGTTTGAACCCGTGTGACTGGTCTGGTGCCCCCAAACTTGACCACTCTCCTCTGCTGTCTCCCAGAGAAGCCCTAAACTCAAGGAAATCAAGACAATAATTGACCTTAATTAATTGCATTTATGATAGCATTTATTGAGTACTTCCTGTATGTCAAGCTGAACACCTCACCACATCAAAAGCAGCTCACAGTCCCCTTAAAACTGAACAGAAAGAAATCAGACTAGGAGAATCTGGTACAAAACAAAAACAGAAAAACTCTGAAAAAGCAATGAGAGGGGATTAGCTGCACTAAATTATAAAGCCTTAAGAACTTATAATCCAGCACACACATACACAGAAAAGAATAGAAAGCCCATAGTCCCAAGTACATAGAGAATCTGGTACAGGCATTTCAGACTAAGCATAAAGCTCTAATTTCTTTCTGCCAAAATTTCATCCTTGGATACACTGATTCCCATTTTGAGCCTCCACCCTGCCCTAGGTTTAACTCATTCTCTTAAACACTCAATTCATCCACAGGTGAGACATGCTCACTTGTTCAAAAAGGGAATATAGCTACTGGGTTGGCCAAAAAGTTCATCCAGGCTTCTCCGTGACATCCTACAGAAAAACTCAAACTTAACTCCGTACAATGTGACTGAAACTTTGAAAACAGGCTGAGTGAAAGAAACTAGACACAGCAGGTCACATATTGTGTGATTCTATTCATTGGAAATATCAAGACTACAGAAATCCATGTAGGTAGAAAGATTAGTGGTTGCCAGGAGCAGGAAGGAGTAGGAAATGAGAAGTAACTGCTTAATGTGTATGGTGTTTTGCTGGAGAAATGATTTGGAACTTGACAGAAGTAGGTGGGTGTTGCACAACATTGTGACTATACCAAAAGTCCCTGGTGGTCCAGTGGCTAAAACTCCATGCTCCCAATGCAGGGGGCCCGGGTTCGATCCCTGGTCATGGAACTAGATCCCACATGCTGCAACTGAGACCCAGCATGAAGTCTAGTATCCAGTCATGCTGTGAACAATGTGGATTCCAATCATTGTAAATCTGGCTCAAAATGGCCTCAGCGGGGGACTTCCATGGTTTTCCAGTGGTTGAGAATCCACTGTGCAATGAAGGGACCCGGGTTCAATCCCTGGTCGGGGAACTAGGATTCCACGTGCCAAGGAGTGACCACACCCGCATGCCACAGCTGTAGAGCCTGCTTGACAGAATGAAGATCAGAGTACCGCCACTGAGATGCGAAGCAGTCTAGTTACTTAACCAAAAGATTTTTTAAAAATTACCTCAGAGGGGTGACAAGTATAAAACTACAAAGGATCCAGGGAGTACACATTATTCTAGAAAGAGCACACACAGTTTATGACAATATCATCAACAACATTTTAAAGGAACACCAAATTTTAAAAGACAGCATAAATACTACTGTAAAT